CACTTTCTATTATTCTACAATGCATTTTCCATTGTGGGAAAATGGGAGGGGGAATTGTAAGGAGTTAGATGATATGTAGTCATAACAAAATTCTTTCTAGAAAGCCAAGGTCATCTTTTGTCTTTGCACCTCTATACCTGACCGGAACTGGATGGGTGGAACTGCCAGCATGGCAGTAGAAGATTGGACCATGTGATGGACTTGTGGGTGTGGAGGCAAGATCTTGAACTTTCAAAAGGGTGGGGAAAACTGGGAAGCTTTCAGATTCGGGTTTCCCAGATGTGCCAACATGGCTGTGTTAATAAATTGGAACTTTGAGCAATACTTTGCCTTAAACTCACTTTTGGATGTTATTTGGAACCCTGAGACTACCTTGTAGAAGGGTTTGGGCCACGAGATCACTTCAAAATCACCTACCTTAAACATTGTCTTTTAGAATTAATTCTTCCCTTGATAAGCCTCATGGTAAATAGTTTTCTATCAATTCATGCCATATAAATGCAGTGAGATGTTTTCTGATCTTTTAAGGGATACCTTACTTGCAAGCCAGTGAGATATTTATCCACATGATATCTGAAGCTGGAAATGGGATGGAATTCAAATGTCCATTACATACTGAAATGATTTTATTACCAATGGAGAGAAGTCAAATATACCTATGTGCTTATCTTTTGACTACAAAATGGACCTTTTGATTGATAATAGCTGTTCCAGACCAGCTGGGATAAATTGATTTCTACTCGGTTTAAGACAGTTCTGTATTTTTCACAATGCCTTCAGAATACAGGAAAGGAATGACAAGGCTTTGAAATTAGAGATGCTGCTTTGCTGTTTTCTTTTAAGCAAAAAAAAAAATCCTCTTTATCTGTAACAAGTGTTTCTTAAAGCTGGAAAAAGTAAAAACATGAGCTTATAAATGAATACATTATGCTATCAAGGTACTTATAATAATATACACAGCATTATACTTTTATCTCAGGTACAAAGGATTTCTATACAGTATACTTAGGAATACTTGTAAGAAGCTCAGCTATGTTAACGGTGTTTTCCTAATAGATTATCTGTACAAATATTGCTTGGAAGAGAATTTTTGAACATGGATGTTTAAAATGTATATTTCTCCTTCAGATTACATATGTATTAATTATTCATTCACAGAGGGTGGGTGAGGGATAGAAATTCATGGCTTTTTATTACTTTTTTCATTTATAATTTGACTAGCTGATAACCTGGGGTAGCCCAGGTATTTATAGATGTCAAAGCATTTGTCTGACAGGGAGCCATTGAGAGGGGCCTTTCTTCCCCCTACTCCCATGCCTATCATCCTTGCCCTCTCCCTTCCCCCTCCCATGTGCTCCTCCTTCCTGTCCTGTCTACAATCCTGGCACTTTGCCCTAAATCCATCAGGCACTTTCCCATTGGTCCACTGGAGGGGGAAAATCACATTTGGCTTTCCCGAGGAAGCTACGAAGGAACTGATATCATAAACTATTGCTGCTCTAAGACACCACACTCTCTCTCCTTAATGGCCCAGGCTCTCCTTTTCCCCTCCCATGACATCACAAACAATTGCCGCTCTAGGANAGAGAGAGAGAGAGAGAGAGAGAGAGAGAGAGAGAGAGAGAGAAAGAGAGACCTTAGTGCCACCTCCTGGTTTAGCCAAGGCAAATGGAACACATAGAAGCTTTCTCTCACTGAAGCAAAGGATGCAGTGTATTAATGTAAGAAAAGCAGACCACATATAGCTCAATGTCAGATGGACATTTTAGAACCCCTGCTCAAAATTGCTTCAACTGACAATCAAAACATTATTATTATTTCCACCATTCCTAAATGCCATACTAGCATTCAAATTACCTTCTTTTCCACTTTTCTTTTTGTGCACACACTTAGTATCTCTCTTTATCTAATCATACTGTCCAGCATGCCTGAAATTTTTTTACTTCAAATATCCACCTATCTGGTCCTTATCAGTAACCCTATTTATAAGAAAGGATTTCATTACAATTTGCATTCACTGCATTCTTTTGTCTGCATTCTCTTGTTGCTTGTCAGAGGCAGCATTGACATTCAGCAGATCAATGTCTTGGTATTCATAAAATAATGTTTATTTCCTTTTTCTCCCCCCCTCCCATCCCTTTACAGACTTCTTACAGAAGTAATACTTTCCCTTAAAGCTTTGTTTCCAACTTATTTTCACTGTAGAACTTTGCATTTTAGCATTTTTATTCGTAGTTGTTGTGGCTCGCCAATGGGGCTGGCAGCAGATTCGGATAGTGAGGAGGTTGGGGAGGAACATGGGCCAGTCCTGGAGTCTGGGGAAGGTTTTGATGAGGGCTCTTTGTCAGAGGCAGAGAGGGGGCCATAGCCATATGGCAGTTATAAGCTGCCTTCAAAGTCAGACAGCAGTGAGGCAGACAAACAACTGTTCCCAGTGTGTGCATGTGCCAGATGAAGGGAATAGCTAAAGAACAGGAGTCGACTTGGGAGTAAGGCCAGAGGTGGCCGATGAATGGCCCCTCCCAGAGGAAATAAAAGAGGAGTGAAAGGGGAGGGGAGATTGCAGGAGACAATTAGTTCACTTAATTGGTCTCTGATCCTCCAAGACTCCTTGCCAAGTTTTGCAGATATTGGCCTGACAGCTCTCTCTGCCAGATAAGGTCTGTGACTGTAAATCCTCCCTTGAAAGGCTTTGCTATAGATGAATGAGCAGAATTCAGTCAATTAATAAAAGGGTTTTTTGTCGGAATCAGGAGTTTGCTTCATGTTCTTGGGAAGTCCAGGTAAGAACAATATTGGTGGCAACACAACCCCCCAATTTCTTCATTCTAACTGATCTACTTTCAGAAAATGGTTACATTTCTTGAAGTTTTACAAACCTCTTCATATAACACTCATAAAGAACTAAAGGCTAACAAAATTATGAAAGTTTCAACCTAACAGCCTTTGGCTGAATTAGTTAGCACTGTTTGTCTGAAAACAGGAAAGCTCAGGAGATAGCCTCATAGTAAGTTAATTTCTTGGTCTTGCAGAAAAATCAACCACCTGTTTGGTTTGGACCTCAAGGGCACATAGAACTAAAATATATTCAAAAACTTATCCCTTATTTGTGTTAGTTAAATATGCTAGGAAGTGGAGATGGTGTGCAACCATATGCTTATGTAAAACCTCTTACTCCAGATTTTGAAATTAGCATATAAAGAAAATTAAAAGCTAACTTTTGCTATAGGGATTCATCAAGCTGTGATTCAAGTCTTTTGATTACTGCAGCAAGTTCTCTATATTTAATGTTTTGATTGGGAGATGGAGCTAAAATGGAGATGCTTTGATTAGTCCATAGACCCTCTGGAATATCCCACTGATATTTTGATGTATCACTCCTTCACAAAACACTGAACATATGTAATAAGAAATACAAGATGGACATGATTATTACTTTTTGCCAAACATCTACTGGGTCCATTTGTGAATGCCATAATACATAATGAATGCCAGGGAACTGAAAAGAATAAAGAGTAAAACACAAAAGCTTGGTAGGGGCTAAACCTTACAAAGAACAGTTAAAAAAGCTTGGCATTCATAGCCTAAAGAAGAGAAGACTAAAGGGTGTCATGATGGCAATTTCCCAATACATGGAGGATGTCATAGGGCTGAGGGCAGGATATGAATTTGGTCTCTGTAGCATCTGATGTTAAGATGAGAATCAACATGCTCCTTACAACTTTTTGGATAAATTATAGATCTATTGACTGATAACATAAATCAAAATTTTAACAAGAATGGATTAAAGTTGGATTTCATTTAGTTAATTTTTAACCTAACTCACCAAACTTCATCTTCCTCCTACAAATGAACAAGAGCAAATAAGCAAGAAAGATTGGGGTAGATTTTCTAAGACATACAGCCCATATTCACTGTATTATTCTATTAGGTTTGCAATATCTTTCCCATCCATGCCAGTGGACCCCATTTCCCCACCCCATTCTCCCACCCACCCAGAGCAGAAAAAATGTCTTTAGGAAGGGGGCCATAAGACTCGGTACACTCCAGGAACAAACTCCTTGTCATCCAAGTTTAAGGTGCTTTTGCTCAAAATGTCCTCTGCAATGTGGCTGTGGGTATTCTTGCTGACCGAGAGTGCATTCAGCTGCTGCTGGAGCTGCCTGATGCCTTGAGTCTGGTCATGGGATGGGATGAACCAGTCCTGGTCTTCTTCATCCAGCATCTCCTGGAAGCAACAGTCCAGGAACACCCACTCTTGAAGCTTCTCCTCCACCTGCTGGTTGAAATCCTCCTCGTTCTCCATCCACATGTACTCGGCGAAGGGGTTGCTCTCCTTCTCATCATGGCCATTCATGACTTGGCCCTCCTTGGATTTTGCTGGGGGAGGTGCACTGGGGGATTGTGTTGGCCACATTGGAACCATTCATCCTTAGAAAGTCAACGTGTGCCCCGCAGAGACTCTGCCACTGTGTGATGCCCACCCGCTGGGCTGCCTCAACCCGAGTCTGATTTTCAATAACAATCAGAGTTGCTTTTCTTTTTCTGATAGGATCCTCATCTTTACAAATTACATGACTGCAAGTATAGGCACATGATCCTTTCTATTATTAGCCATAATGGCACAGTGTTTAAAATGCAATATTGCACAACCAACAGTTCAATCCTAACCAGCTCCATTTTGACTCACCCTTCCATGCTTAAGAGGAACCAGATTGTTGGGGGGGGGTCAATATGCTGACTCTGTAAACCACTTAGAGAGGGCTGTAAAACATTATGAAGCAGTATATAAGTCTAAGTGCTATTGCTATTATAATAGATGTAGGTCTCCAATTTGGCCATAACTAAACTTGAATTTAATCCATTTTTACTTTATTATATTTTATTGATGCAAAATTTGCAAACCTTTTCATGATACTGATGCAAGAAACTCATTTTCAGTGGGTAATTAAAGCTGAGACATCAGCCCTACTTTTATCTTATAAAAATCCATCTCTAAAGAATGAAAAGTAGAGGCAGTGACTTTACACGTGAAGGGATGAGAAAACAGATTGTTCCTGAATAACAGCGACAATCACAAACACATTCAAAAACCTGGATCACTGCTCCTATCTTTAAATTATTAAACTTAATTAGATAATTAGAGAGATAATTATTGTTCATTTCATTTTCATAATTATGTAGGTGATTAAAATGTTAGCAATGTGCAGATCATTTGGAATATTTCCATTTCTCATTGCCCTAGTTAAGAAAAGTTAAACTTGGGGAGGCGGAAGAGACATAGCTACAAGCGCATTTCTAGTAAAGAGGCAAGTTTCTTTGGAGCCTCGTGTTGGAACAGTGCAATCATACACTTTTTGTTAGGGTTTAGCCTAACAGAAAGAACTGCTCAGCATTTTCCTCTGATGGAAAACAGATGAGTGATGTGCTCTTTTGATCAGAGTACCAACTAGTCTGATGTTGGCCTTCTGCCCATGCTTGACCATTAAAGTTAGGCTTTCTGTGTGCTGGTTTTCAATTTATAGGTCTCCGTTGCATAACAGCTGAACTCATCATACCTGCCAGGCTGATTCAGGTAATTTATTTTATTGGACATGGTGTGAGGGTGGTAGAGCCCTTTCTCTTTGCAGTTAAGGGTCCAATTTTGATTTCCCATAAATATTCAGTAGAAGTGGAAGCCCCTTGTGCATTTCTCTCTGGCACATTTTCTTCTCCTTGGACGTTTTGGGCTTAGACAACTTAGAACTATGCCGTCTTTGGTTTGACCTAAGCGTAGTACATAAAATTATCTACTACAATGTTCTACTCGTCAATGACTACTTCAGCTTCAACCACAATAATACACAAGCACACAATAGATACAAACTTAAGGTAAACCATACCAAACTCTTTTGCAGAAAATACGACTTCAGCAACAGGGTGGTCAATGCCTAGAATGCCCAACCTGACTCTGTGGTTTCTTCGCAAACTCCCCACAACTTTAACCTTAGACTGTCTATTGACCTCACCCCATTCCTAAGAGGTCTGTAAAGGGGGTGCATAAGCACATAAACATGCTTACCATTCCTATCTTAACAACCCCATGTATTTGTATCTATTTCATGTATTCATAAACTTGTATGTACTTATATCTATTTTCTTATACACGGTTGACAAAACAAACAAACAAAATAGCAAATGAGAGCCAGCTTGATGTAGTAGTTAAGGCATCAGGCTTGAAAGTAGGAGAGCATGAGTTCTAATACCATCTTAGCCACAAAGCCAACTGGGAAACCTTGGCCCAGTCACTTTCTCACAGCCCTAGGGAGGAGGCAATGTCAAATCATTTTTGAGAAACTTTGCCAAAAAAATCCACAGGAACATGTACAGGCAGTCTCCAACAATCATTGACAATTGAACAGAGGAAAAACATATATAACTTATTAGCAGTTGCTTGTATCCAACCTGAAATTTCCTGGTACATCTGTATGAATAAAAATTTCCCTTCTCTTTAATGCAAGCACAGCCTTAACAACACAACAGCCTTGAATAAAGTTAGTCTTTACTTTGAAGTGAATAGAGATTCCCCATTTCTATGTTTTTGGGTGTGTGGGAAGTAACAAGTGTCTTGCTGTTTTTATTTGAATCTTTTGATACTGTTCTGCTGTTCCTGTGGCTTCCTCTCTCCTAATGTCAAATCTTAAATATATATTTCCACCATAAAGTGTCATAAACATTATACTCACCTTGAAGAAACAGTAGAGGTTGCCTGTTAGCTACTAAGCCAAGTAAAAGGTTTTGCTCATGGCATAATATAAAGATGACAACAATTTGAGATGAGGAATCCAGGCAAATTCTAGAATCGGATGATCACTACTATTTTAGGCAGTGTTGTCTTCCTGTTTATACCATGGTTTTCAGATTGTCATCTTGTAATTGCTTACAGTTGAGTCTACAGGGAGTTGTAAAAAAAAGTCAAGGTGGCAGCCATTACTGTGCAAGGGAAGCTCCACCCACTTTTGTACATGACTTTCATATATGACAAATGTAAAAAATGAGGGGAGTTTCAATTGTAGCCACTATTTTGTCACAATCACTATTTTGACTGTTTTGACTTCTCTCTGAGGAAATGCTCCTTACTGAGTATTCTTTGTCAGTGGCCCCCAACCTTTTGGTCACCAGGGACTGGTTCTGTGGAGAGTGGGTTTTCCACAGACTAGAGAAGACATGGTTTTCTGTGCTGCCTGCATCCTGACCAGCGGTGGTATTCAGCAGGTTCTGATCAAGTCTTGAGAACTGGTAGTGGAAATTTTGAGTAGTTCGGAGAACTGGTAAATACCATCTCTGACGGACTCCGTCCCCATCTATTCTCTGCCTCCCAAGTCCTAGCTGATCGGGAGGAAATGGAGATTTTACAGTATCTTTCCCCTGCGATGCCCATCAAGCCACGCCACACCACGCCCACCAAGCCATGCCCACAGA